AACACGTGCATACATAATAAAATTTCTTGGTAGTAACTTCATCGTCTTATTATTTTGCCTTATGTTTTAGAAAATAACTTTTTTTTTTGGACGAGAACTTTGTGTAAACATAAAGTCAATCACTAACATAAGCCATATAAATCCAAAGTTGATAAATCATAAATCCATGACATGATGGTAGTTTCATTACTACTATTTTTTGATTATAAAGCATGATTCAATAACAAAAGGTTTGCTCAAAAAACGCTTTTCTCGCTCCCTCTTCACAAAATCGGCTCCTTAACATTAAGCATAGCTTTGCCACATTGTAATGTTTTGAGAAGGGAGATTTTTTTTTAAATATTTGGGATTCAATAAAATAGTAAAAAATGCAAGTTGATGTGATCGATAATCAAAGTTGAACGTTTTTCTCAAGCGTAAATATTACTTTTGAAGAATATCGATGTGCAGATTTGTATTATTTATTTTAAACTAAATAAACAAATTCGCATATATAACATGTAACAAAACTAATCTATGTTGTAATTTTCTTAGTTTCTTTGCTGAAGCTTTCCACCCGTCCCCTTGAAGATATATGTATGTATTTTGTGCTTTCGCACTCGGGGAAATAAACAGCTCAATTTTTAGTTTCTCAAAGCTTTTTAAGAAGAAAAATATAACCCTACTTTTTTATTTTGAGTTTAAAAATATTTAGAGGTCGCTCAAAGCACTCAAAGTTTTCCATGTATTTTATTTAGGAAGAAAACCAACTTTTCGTAGAAATGGTATAGAATTCTTGAAAATCAATATTTTTCGATCAGGAAACCGTTTCTCTTCAGGAGATTTCCAATAATAATAGCCAATTGTGTGTATAACCATTTTTTATAGTAACTATATTTTATAGGTCCACCGAAAGCCCCAGAAGATGCAATGGGGGGACAAATAAAAAATCTTTAGTATTAAAAAATGGTTAAATACACAATTGGCCTTTAAGTAAGTACGATCTTCAGCACATGCCGGATGTTGGAAGATGCATGGAGTTATGTGTATGTAGACATGTACAGAAAAAAAACTGGGCACTGTTTAGTACATGGCCTAACTATTTCGAGGTATTGCGTCCAAAGGGGTGACCCGATCCAAAATAAATTTGCACACACTTGTAGTCAAGCGTCTACACATTATTTTAACACCTACTTTTTTAATTTTCTGTCACTACTTTATTTACAAATTGGGTTCGAAATATGCCCTTTTTTGTAAAATTCGGAAATTAGCGTACATTTATCACTCCTATTCTCCTTAAAGCAGCAACTTCACCACCAGAAAAGTGTTTATTTACCTGTGTCACTTGCCATTGTACGGTTGCTGCTCCCTTTCATACCACAGTAAATTTGTAAGCAACTCTGAATCGGCAAAATTCATGCTCCTTCGCATTATCAACCCTGATCAGACTTTCCCCCGAAGAGTACTAAAAGAGGTTTAGTAATATATATACTGTGATGGGCGCAACTCACGCGCAACCTCGATATTTAAGAAAGTATCGATATTATGAATCGATTTCATTCATTGCATGTAAAATCGATATGGCGATATATCGGGCTAACCAATATCGATATCGGAAAAATCGATGTTGAAAATCATACTCCCAATTGGATAGAATATTATGCCTGCCTTCCAACCCACCTCATTATTTTATTTCTATCTTGTATATTTACTGAGGATTAAAACGGCATGCCGGTTGACAGTATTGTCAAAGAAGATAGAACAAGACAATAATGGGTCAATTATCGATAGCAACCGAACTTCAGTTGCGTTGCTAGTTGCCAAAACTATATTACAGATGGCAACTGGCAACTTTCAACTGACAACTGCAGTTGCTACAAAGTGTGTATACAGGCGACTACATTTTTGTGGTTGCTGGGAATGTTTTTGGAAAATATTTAGGAGCGAAAATTTAAGTGTGGCCTATATTTTACTTTTTAATAATCTGAACGATATTAACATTTTGCAATGCAGTTTGTTTTTTATTGAAAATCGCGTAAAAATCACTGAAACAAACCCCCGACAAAATACACATACAGAGAGAAGCAAATAAGAAATAGCAAACTTCAAAATTACGAACGTCACACACTTTTCTCAATTGTTATTACAAATGGCTGCTTCTCAACCGGTCAGATCTGTTCTAAAGAACGTAAATCTATAAGAAGAGACAACACGTTATAATTGGAGCAAGTGTGAACATCAGGAGCGTGCCTTCTCTTCTCATCCAATCAAAAAACGTACGCGATCGCTTTGTAGTAAAAAAATAGTAACTTTTGACAACTTTAATATAACCTCCAAATTTTGGTTGTCAATTTTTGCTTACTTTGTATGTAATAGGGAATTTACATGATTCAACTTTCATAGGCGATTAGTTGAATCAAAAGTTGAACGAAAGTAGGAAGCCGACCAACTTCATTGAAAGCGATTGGTTGAAAGGCCGTTTACACCAGGCGATTGTTACTTTCAACAAAAAGTTGCCTGAAAAATAGCCTCATGTAAATTCCCTATAAACACCTCAGCTCACACATGTTAATAACCATAAGTACTTTCAAATTTATTAGAATCCACTCCAAACAAGTAATTAAATACTTTTCAACATGCATTAGCAGAGAACACTTTTCTTTTGTATGCAGTTTCGTTGTCAAACACAGGCGATATATAAATCTCCTTTCACGTCATATTTCTGTCAAAATTTTCAAGTCAGAGTTAGCGGTATCGCAGTCAGCGCCACCTTCTGTATTCGTTTCACCATGATTTGCATATGGGTGTGTTCAGAAATGCATCAAGCCAAGGAATCGGGCTCTNCAACTGTAACTGCATACCCAGCGCAATGACTATACCCCATTGCACTCTAACACNTTTCATTTCTAAAGTATAATTGATGGAAATGCCTTATTCACGCAACTAACATTATTGGACATTTCCATCAATTATAGTTTAGAAATAAACGAGACGGATGCTTTACCTTGATGCATTTCTGAACGCAGCCTATAATTTGGCAAATCGTCAAATCGTAAAAGAAATTAATTAAAAACAAGTGAATAAGTTTAAGTTCGGGCGAAACCGAACTTTATATACCCAGCGCATGTATCTATTAAATATAGTTTTTTCACCTTTCAGTAAACTGCATGATAAGGACGAGTATTCTTCCCAATGTCAGTGTAGATTTTTCCTAGTTTTTCCTACAGAATTTAAATGTGCTTCGAATTTCTCTTGAAAAAAAAACAGTACCCTTAAAGGCATTCTAATAGGCAACATAGACGGTGCGTCTGACTCACTAGTCAACTGTGTACGTGTTAACTCGCCTTTCGACTACACACAGTTGAGTCATTCAGAGTCATAGCAGAGACATGTCGGTGTAACTGACACATATTTATTTTACCTAACACATCCAAACCGACTAGCGAGCCAGACGCACCGTGTATGCCGCCTATTAGGGAAGCATATTCCGCATGGTCCGACTGGGTTGTTGAATACACACATACTAAGACAAAAATGTTGGGCTTGTATTGGAAGCCCTGCCAAGGCTATGCACCACTGCTTTAAGGGCATCGGTCGGTTGCGGCTTCTCGGCATAGGTCTGCGACTTCAGGAAACCTCACATGAAAAATCTAGCGGAGTCGAGTCGTACGATCTTGGCGGTGTGAATTACCTCTGCGAGAGATTACGATACATTCAAATCATTCATGCGTATCTTTTCGTCCGCTGCGTGGTGCAATGACTGAAACAGACGCCACGAAAACAACACCGCCGCCAGAGGGCGCCAACATCTAACCGCGCCAATTGCACAGGCCGATGTCAGTACATTATAGATATTAAAGAAAAATTAATAGACATTAGAAAAATTATAGAGCAATAAATAGAAGCCAAATCCACAATTTTTAGAATTTTTGTCTGTCTGTATGGACCTTCCCAATAAACACCAAAAACATATTTCTCCAACCTTGGAGAAATTCATAGTTCTCAAGTTGATATCCAACATCATTCTCCAACTCATCTCTAACCGAAGCGCAGATACGTAAAAAGTCATAGAGAAACAAAATTTTTAATTATCAATAGAAAAACGAAAGCTATATAAAGACGAAAATTACCAACAAAAAGTAAATAATCTTCAATGTATCCTCAAATAATCTTGAAAGAAAATAAATGTGAAGTGAAACAAGTGGCAAAGTTACTGTCAGACTGTATACTATGAGGTGAATTATTGTAATACGATATTGTATTATGTGGACAAAAGGAGTAATAAAAAAATGAAAATTTATATTTAAATTCATCTATGTATTTTTGTGTGATAAGATAAATTAAATATTACAAAATGGGTATCAAACTCGAAAATATTTTTTAGGAAAGTTGCCACCTGTGTGAAAAATTTTATTTAATTAAATTGATAAAATATTTGAAATTTACAATATGCCTATCAAACAATACAAAAATACTTTTAAGGCGCAGTGAAGCACCCAGGTTATTTGCTAGTAAAAAATAAAATTGAATTTCAAAAATTGCTTACTATATTAGGTTTTTGTAGTTTTTTATTTGTGGTTTATATCACAAAAAAATAGTGTTTAATCCTGTATATTGTAATACCACAACTAAAACACCGTTTACATCACGTCAGATACGATCGATTTGCTTTGTACCGCCTATTGTGTCGATTAAAATTTTCAGCAAGTGAAAAAGAGCAAAGTAGAAGAAAAAGTTGTGAAGGTGATTTAATAAAAATACGTGCAACAAAATACAAAAACCAAATTAGCCTACATCCTGGGTGTTGGCTCATTTTAGCTGGCATCCATAACAATGCTCCTGTCAAAATTAAAAATTCATACTACCAAAAACTTTCTGGTTTTTTTTTCTCGAAAAAATAAACTACAGAAATGTACAAAAGATTTCACGACAAAATCAGAATTATCGGCAAATTCGCAAAATTTAAAGAATACTGTTAATTTCAACTTGAGATACCACAACAAAAGTAATAAATTTTCTCGCAAAGAAAGGTGGCTCGGCTAAAGTTGAAGAAGTACATTTGCCGACAAAAAGCCTGCAACCACATTGTGAAATAACTGGTACCAAACACAAAAAATATTACCTTAATATGTGTAAGTTCAACCGAGATTGCTTCAAACTCACCAATGCGCAGATATAGACGAGTACCTAATCGGTTACTAATCGCAGCTTTAAAACAACGCAGAGCAGACATCCTAATGGTGAACGAATTCTGGACAACAAAACTTTGCGCAAAATGTTTTAGCGTCAACCTGACGGCCAAATCGCCCCACAGGTACCAATTTTGCCTAAAATGCGGTACCTGTTGGAATCAAGACGTCAATGCTGGGAAAAACATTCTCTACCTGGGAGAATGTATCATTAACTAAGACGAAAAACACGAAAATTTTCGAAAATAAGATGTCACTATTTCTTATATAACGACAATTTGACTGGCAACAGTTTAACTTTTATTAGTTATTAAGTAATCCTGTGTATCCCATTGACTAGCCATTCGTCTTTCTGTAAAATAAAATAATATATAATTTGATTGTAAATATATTTGAAACTATATGTATAAGTACATATGTATTAGCATACATACATATATACATTTATATATTACACCTACTTTTTGTATCTAGCGAGTATTTCTTGTTTGAAGATCTCGAAGCGCTTTCGGTTTATGTTATTTTGCTGTTCACGCCAAACCGGTCGTGCTTTTTTCTGCTGCAATCCCCAATGGCAGTTAAAAACAGGGGATAGTACAAAAAAAGTGTACCCAGCGATATACATTTCGTAGACCTAACATTAAAATAAATTAATCAATAATTAGTTACGTATATGGCGCATATCGTCGTTATCAAGGCAAACAGTCCCGTTAACATACTTTGGAAATCGTTTCTTATTCGTAAATATTCCGCTAGTATGGTCTCAGATACTTTCGCAGTTTTATCTTAAATACTATGCGAATTATTGGCATCCTTGCAAGCATTTTTACGCTAATTTAAAGTTTTTTTGCATCAATAAAACTTTAAATTTGTGATTCAGGGATTTTTACATTGATGACGCCAACTGTTAGATGTGTATTTACTTGTACCTACATCAGTCAAAAGATATTTACATATCTATGTACCTGCGAGTTTCTGGTGAATCCATAACCTATAAATCTCTCATCATGTGCAGGAACATCGTCAAAGGCGACATAGAAAGGCTCGTACAAAAATTCAAAATTTGTTACAACATGACTTATGTGCGCCCGCTCTTCTTCAATTGAGGAATTCGTTAGCCATAAGGAAAAGTTAGTTGCGTATTGGTTGTATATAAAAACCTTCTCGTGAAATGGTCGTACTAGACCTTTCCTATAGAGTCGCATAAGCTCCGGCTTCGAAACTGGAAACATAGCTCTATTGTCTATTTCGAAAGTTGGAATCACATATGCGCATCGGTAACTGCATTTTGTTGACTGTAGAAAATTATTCAAAAGTGATACCATATTTCCACTAGGAATTATATCGATGTCCGTTAGAAATACATATTTATTTTGACACCCTTTTCTTGCTAGGTTACGTAAATGATTTTGAGGATATTCGTTCTTTAGGCGCCATCTTATTGTGTCCGCAGAGCGCAATTTGAGTAAATGGCGTAGTGTTTGTTCAGGATATTGGCAATCAAAGTTTTTTATAAGATTTGGGTTGTGACCGTGAGTAGGTTTCTTGTCATTCGGTATAGCAATGTGAAATGTAACGTTATCACGAATAAATGAGAAACAAAGCCGCATGTATGTTACGAAGTATTGTAAAATAGAAAACTCTTCATTTCCGGCAACATAAACAGCAGTGGATATCGGACCGTTCCATTGGTGAGCAACTTGTGTCAATGAATATAGCCGCTCCACAGAACTTTGGGTAGCTAAGCATACAATGTTTTCATGCGAAGCTTCAACAAAGTTATCTCCAATCAAGGCGAAATCATACATCTTATAAAGCCGATGATTGTCCCATCTTCCGGTATCAAAGCTTATATTTTCGAAAGCAAGCCTAAAACTATGCTTCGAAATTTTCTCGAATGCTGTTCTATTAACTGTAGAGTCTATTAATAGATTTTTTTCAAATGCAGTTGTTTTCGTTATTCTATTTGACGATTTATTGACATACTGCGAACGCGTTTCCATTTCAAGTAAGCAAAGTGTCCACATAAGATTTACCGCGGTGGAAAAAATTAATAAGAATAAAACCAAGCATTTAACTTTAACTATTTTCCACTGAAAAAAAAGAAAATATATTAGTGACAGTATAATGCACACAGATATTGACGTACATGTGTACACATGATAAATAAAAATCCTGAATATCCACTTATTTCACCATTTTTGCCCTTTTCTTATTTTTCTTTTATTTAGGAATGGTCATCACCGTCAACTATCGGCACAATAATCGATATTGAACAATCAGTTATCACCGCTTGTTGCCAAATTACTTTCCTACAAGACGCGACTACCCGCAACTCCAATACATTGAAAGGATTTCTCTTCCCTGCAAACCAATGTTCCCAAAATCTTGACGAAATCTTTAGGAGTTTCTCATTTCTGTAACGATTTTTTTTACGAATCTTCAAGGAAAATTGTATGAACTCGTTAAGATATTTCTGTACGAAAAATAAAGAAAATTCTGAAAAAATTCTGCAAGAAATTCTTCACATTGCAGCATTATTTTCATTGTTTTGCCGATTTTCTTCCGAAATTTCACAAAAGAATCGAATTGTGCACAGTTTATTTCATTGTAGAAAATTCGTAAAAAAATCGGATGAGATCTTTACGAATGCTTTAAAATTTCTCTACAGTTCAGAATACGCTGAAAAAATGGTTTGCAGGGTTGTAACCAACATCATATTAAAAGAATTTCAATTGAAACCAAAACATACACACGTGACGCTTAAGTGTGTAAGAAAGAAAGGGATAAAAGATCACACGTATACAGGAGTTTCGGGTAGTTTTATCCACTCGGCCTTTAGAAACTCGATAGAAACTTCCATTGAAATTTATGGGGCACTCGGTTAAATCATGGCTGAATTTCTTTATTCATTCTGAACGTTTGGAATAAACTTTTTTGTTTACTTATTCTTTAGAACGTTCCTGATGATATGTTAACGTATATTTCAAAAGCATTCTGTTTATTCCGGCTGTGAAATGGGATTATCCAGAATGTATAAAGAAACGCAGCCCATATGTATTTATCCGGTAATATTCAACAATTTTTACCATAAAATAACAAAAACAAATAATTTATCCGATAATGATAAAGCTGTATTCTGAAGAAAATACATATCGAGGGCTTATATTCCATACCTTCTATCTGAAATTTTCACAAAAACTACTTTGTGATGTTAGAATCCACCTGGGAAATACCTCTCATCTCTGTTGTTAATTTTGACTTTGCAATTTAATAGTAAATTCTTTTGTCAAGCCTTATACAAGGTTAGCATTAATATTACCGATGACTGTTAAGTATTAGGTGGATTTTTATATCAGAATCTCATTTTTGTGAAAAGTGCAGATATAGGGTATTGAATATAAGCCCTCGATATGCATATAAGTATGTATGTACATTTGTACATGTTTTAAAAAGTATACCACCCATATACATATTTCAATCAAAATTGAACTGTGTCAAAGCAAGACAAGCAAGATCTTTGCCCAAATCAATCAGGAGCACGTTGATATCTTGAATTTATAAGTGATTTCTAACCGATGTGAGAAATAAAAATTTGTTTCCTACCCTTTCGGAAGCATCAATGCTCAAAAAGAAGCAATTCTCGCCATATTACAGTTCATCGTTTTTTTGTTTTTTGGTTTGTTTCCGATTAAAATTTCTTAAGGCAACGATTTGTACATAATTCTCGTGAAAATCGATTGCTTACAAATTGCTCTCCTGTCAATCAAAGGGTGGGTGGTTCTGCATGCGGGTTGTATTTACATATGCATGTACACAAATACATACATATGTACATACATTTGCAAATCGTCGCCTGGGTAAAAGATTGTCGTATGTTATGCACGTACGTATGACGCTTACGCCAATCTTTTATCCAGGCGACGAAAGGTATGTCGCTTTTGACTTTGGACTGTGTTACCATATTAAAGTGGTGTACGTATTAATAATAATAGGTTTGTATAGTAACCAATAGTCAGTACTAATTTGTACTGGAACTTGCAAATTTTTACTGGAAAAGTGTATGATAACCCAAAAAATTTGCAAGAGAGCACTGAATCGAGAGCTTAACAACACGGGAGAGCTGCAAATTCTTGCTAACATGGTTGCCACTCGCCAACATTTTTTTCTACCAAAATCTCTTAAGAAAAGTTAGAATAAAATATACTGAAAAAAACTGCTATATTTCATAACAAATGTGTATATACTTTCAGCCCGATTCTGTGCACTTAATACATTCAATATTTTTATAAATTGTCAATTTTCGATTATTTATCAACAAACGCCACTTCTAGCAAATTAAAATTTATTTTCTTGATAAATTATCAAGATTGAAAATGCTATTGACAATTATAATCTTTTTTTATTAGAAAATATTTTTCTATCAATTAATTACTGCATGTGCCGATATTTTCGTTTTCGTTGTTGGTGTTTCCGACACGGTAGGAGTATGATGTAATGTGGAACGATTTTTCGTCATCTTTTGGCAAATTTGGTTTGGAGACAAACCGGTTTCGGCGTTGTGCCATCTTCAGTGTCATTTTTCGTTCGGAATGTGCCGATATTTGGCGGGTGCTTTTAACCGAAATTTCGAGCTATTTTTTCGGTTTTTTCATAATTTACGGGACGTGTCAAACGGACCTCAGATTTGGATTCTGTGGGTCGAAATACATGTCGGTAGGTGGGACTGGTAAAAAGCACGCGACATTTATTTTTTTTTTGTGCAGGAATAATCAAAACGATTCGTGGACCTTACCAAAAATTGCCAGATGGCCGAATTTTTATACCAGTTTTACTGTAGAATTCAAAATGTATCACAAACATTTGAAAGTTGTTTCAGAAGTGCAGCCAGTGGTGCTGCGACTAATTCAAATAATTCCAGTATTCGAATATGAGATGACTCTAATTTTATCGAAGTAAATTTGTAGAAGTGTCAGTAGTGCTGCCACTGAATCTCGAAGGGTTTTATAATTACGCACAGGCAAAACATAATTCATTTCTTTCTACTAATGCAAATAGATGTTTGGTTGCAAAAGTTACCAAAATAAAATAAAAATTACCAAGTTACCAAATCGTTTAAAAGTTACCAATTTTGGTAGAAAGTTACCAATTGTGGCAACCATGATTGCTAATGAAATTTTTACTAGCAGAAATTAGCTAGCAGAAGAAGAAAAAGAATAAATGTCAAAAGCCGCCATTTGTTGAATAGATTTACCACAAACAAAAGTAAAATGAGTGGAAATCAAAATGTTAATGATGTACTGCTTGTGCGTAAGGCAAAGAGTTTAAAACTGATTTATAAATAGTAAAATGTTTACAGCAGAATATCAAAACTGTGCAACAACTATTCACTTGCAAGTTTTTACTAGTTTTGTGTTCAATAGCTTTTTCTGCTAGTTTTCTCTTCTCAATTTTACGCTCTCGCTGCAATATTTTACTGAAGAAGTTACTATACAAACCTAGGGATGAATCGATACAAGTAAATCCAAGTACATACTCGACACTTTTCTCAATTGACCAAGTATTTTTGTACTCGATTCTTTTTACTGCGATCCAAGTAGGTATCGAAAAAAAATACTTGTATCTTGCCAAACTTACTATGCTTCAGCATCTTCTTTGAAAAGCAACCCATTAGGGGAATGGGAAGATATGCGCACTACATTTCCGCAGCTATATAAGCAAGCCCGTCTATACATAACGTTTGTTGGGTCATCTGTCCCTCGCGAGAGGCCTTTCTCAACTATATCAAAATCTCGATACCGCCTTTCAGAAAAACACAGGGAATATAACAAAAAAGGAGTTCTTTTCTTAAACTTATTTTACACGAAAAAAGGTTTATCTGTTAATGTTGTAAAAATGTATTCTATTGTTTTTGAAATAAAATACTATACAAAAATAATTGTTGTCTTAAATTTTTGCATGAAAAAACATAAAAAGATAAATAATCTTGTAAAAATGCATATTTTTTGTGAAATACAATAGCTTTGAAAAATACGCAAAATCGTATTTCTATGCACATGTACTCGATATCTTTCCGATAGGTGTCGATACCTTGTTTGATACAAGTACAAGTACTGATGGTATCGATTTATCCTTATACAAACCTAATGATATTTGAAAACTGTTTGGCTGTTGGTCGGTTCCAGAACCGGATCTGAGTGCTGCCGGGCTAAAATGCGAACCTGTACCTACCCGGACACAGCGGTCTCTTATTTTCCTACCAACATTAAATTCATTAGCTTTATATTAATTTTAATATTCGTTGATCCTCGGATTCCAGAAAAAGTCTTATTGTATACTAAAAGTGTATACATATGTACATATATATTTATTTGTATGTACTAAAACCAAGGAAGCAGCAAAACGTACGTTTATCCGGAAACTTACAGAAAAATTTTCATTCAGGGCCTGTGCCAATTGATAGAAAAGTACTCTGGATAGTAAATTTTTGACAGCTAAGAGGTGAATAAAAGTTGTTAATCCGGCAGGGCTACTGAAAAATTTAACAGCAAGCATTAGCTTTGTTTCTTTACAGATAATTATAACTAGTTTCTGCTAGAAAGGTTTCCTAACCCAAAAAACTGGCAGAAACTAACAGCTCTCTCTCGTTCTTACGCTCTTCTTTTTTTGTATACATAAATGCTCAGAATGAAAAAATAAATCGATTAAGCGATGATTGTCTGTCCGTCCGTCTGTGCACACGATAACTGGAATAAAAATTAAGATATCTTGAGGAAACTTGGTACATGTACCTCTTTTGAGCCCAGGACCGATGGTATTGAAAATGGGCAAAAACGGCCAATAACCACGCCAAACTCCCACATAACGGTAGTTTTCAGATATACGAAACTGCGATATTTTGGTAACTACTGAAGCTTATTCACTCAAAATTGATATTTACAATGATCTTCAGGAGCAAAATAAGTAAATCTTGGTAACTGCTCCATCAATTTCTTCCAAACTAGACGCAATAGTTGGTCTTGATAAAAAATACCAAACATCTGAAAATTTTGAAAATCGGACAATACCCATGCCCACCTCCTATATAACGGTAATTTAGAGAAATACGAAATCTTGGATATATCAGTAACTACTTAAGCTAATTTATTCCAATTTGATGTTTGCAATAATTCTTTAGCAAGAAATATGTTCATGACAAATTTTTAGAAAATGGGCGAGGACCACATGTTCTATGAAATTGTACTAAGCTCGGTATAAATATTGTACTTGACACACAAAACCAAGAAGAGAAAATTTAAGAAGTCGGACTAAAATTACGCTTTTCATATAACGGCAAATTTCAGAAATGCTGAACCACACCTGCTTACCATTTAACGGTAGATTTCAGAAAGGTGAAAAAATTATATTTAATACTTGTGCCGGGTATTCAATATTCGGTTTCGCCCGAACTTAAACTTTTTTACTTGTTTACAATAACATAAACATAAATTTGTTTTAAATTCGATATTTACATAAACTCCATAAAAGTTTAATTTTAATTTTGAACCCTTTTGCAGTTATTATACAGCTAAATAGCACATGAATTACATAATTCACGTAGATTTCATAACATTTCGCTCAATATTTCATTTAAAATGCCAAATTTACAAAAGCAATTTCACTACTAATTTACTACTTTATGTACTTTTCTACTACCATTTTCGCACCAAGGAATTCCAATCTTTCCCGTTTCCCCGTCCTTTGTAAACGCAAGGGCGTGTCAAACCGCGGCTGTCAATAATTATCAAGGCCCTCAGTTTTAAAAATTTTTCCATTGCTGCCAACTTGGCTCAAACCGTGCCATTTTTGGCCCTATTTTACTTCAAATTGCACTTAATAATATTAATTCGGCACTTTTAAAAAATAGTAGTATTTCAAAACATTTTTGTGGAATGCTTTGTCTACTTCTCAACTAAAATTTTCTAATTTCTATAGTGTATACAACTGGTTTATCTTACATTGGCATTGGACATTTGTTTTAGGAATGTGTTTCCCATTTATAATAATAATATCCTAACGGTTTTTACCCTCCATTCCCGCCCATCCGCACGAGGGGCGCAGTCCGCATGACGTACGGAACCAATATTTTAAATTTTTGTGCCGAGTCACGATAGGCAGGAGTTTGTTAAGTGTCGAGATCTAAAACTGTTCAGCTACAGAACTAAATTCATCAGCTGATTTTATGTATTTATGTCAATAATTCACTTATTGAGAGAGGAGAGTATCGCTTTCTTAATGCTGAAAAGCGGATCTGATATATCAAACGTGCTGGAATGAGAGTTAAAATCCTGGCATAAGCAACGGAGTGGGTCGTGCAATTCAAAATTGGTTTTACAAGCTTTCAGAAATATGGGACAAAAGTGTCTTGATACGCGTGAGGGAACATTAAAGCTTACATCAGCCAGAACATTTTTAGAGGAGATGGCAGAACTCTGCCTGAATCAAGTTAATGTACTTCGCAATAAGTTTGGCAAAGTATTAGATCTTGTTTATGTTGATGATGCATCTAAGTCGGCTGTAAATAAATGTGACCCACTAGTTTTGCCCGAAGATGTCTACCACCCTGCTATTGAGATATCTTACGAAATTATAAACGATG